TGTTGATTCTCCCTCTAAGAATAACCAGAGTGCCAGTCTGGCCCTCTCCCATAATCTGTCCCTCGCCCCATCGGGGGACATCGATGATGGGCCCCTGCCTCCCAGGTGGTCCACTTCCCACATAAAGCTTCCAAGCATCGGCCCAGACGAGGCTCCGCAATCTCCTGTTTCCCATCCAGGGGCTTCCTCCCTATAGTCGGCCCAAAGGTCCCCACCCCATGGCGGTCGGTGGCATAAGGAAATGACCCTTAGAGAGTGATGTCCCACTAAGACATTCTAAAACGTTGTGGCATTTTCAGCATCGTCCAAGCAGTGGTCCTGAGGCTAAGCGATACCCTACAACCCAACCAGGCACGCCCCATGCCAGGGACATGCAGGATCGCAGCCCGTTGCTACGTGTGATGCAGAGGAAACGAAGGCCAGATGGAAAACATTGCCAGGGGCGACAGCGAGCTAGAACAACAGGACCCGGAGCGCATGTTCTGGGCCCGAAAGCTCCCTAGCGACCATGGGTGACTACAAAGGTGCTTAGCACATCGTGAGCAGCCATAAATATTGTTTTAAAACCCACCACGTGTAGCCTGTGGCAGCATTTACTCCCAGGATGGATGGGAGGGAGGGTTCTGGGTATGCTGAATGCCCGACATACACATTAAAGCAGTATTTTATTAAACATGCTACAAACACGTCTAGGGCAGACTGAAATTCACAGACATTGAGACATTCTAAAAGTTGAACTGACTGCAGACCTTCTCCCAGCCGCCAGAGACCCTGCGGGTTTCCATGCCCTACGCCCACTGCCTCAACCTCAAGGCCGCTTAGCCTTAGTGCCTTTCACACCCAGGGGCCCTTTTGAAGGAAATTACAGAGCGACAGCTTGCCCCTCTAGGAACTGGATGTCTCCAGTCACTCAATCTGTACACCGACCACATGACTCGGACGCACCTGGGCGGCGGCGCAAGATTAGTGGTTTCAGACCCCCAGCGTGTGCTGTGTGCAGGTGTGCTTAATGCCACTGGCCAGCTGGCGAGCTTCTGACGAGTGCGTGACAGCAGCAAATCCCAGGCTGGCCAGGAGAGACCCTGCAGCGCGCAGGGTGGTGCATTAAATGCAGGCGCAGCGGGACGCAGGGTGCTGCTTGGTCCTACTGGTCTCCGCCAGCACTAACTCTCTGCGTGCCAGAAGTCTCTGCCCGCCTCCGTGAAATGGATGAATGACAGCTGGCCTCTGGCTGTGCGGTGAACCAGCAATTACCTGGTGACGGTCAACCAGCACTGCCCCATGCATATCAGTTTCTTTAGGAAGCAATTGGTGCGCATGACTGTGCTGTGTGTGTGTGTGTGTTGTGTGTGTGTTGTTTGTGTAGGGCCCAGGGTGCATGCAACTTCATCTCTGGCACTCTGGAGTACAATCTGGCTCATTTTTGCAAAAATAAAAAAATGTCCCCCTACAATGAATTCACCGGAGGCTTCTCTGTAACTGTCCAGGTCAGGTGCCCAAACGGGCTGACTCCACCGGATGACACTGATCGCCACAATCTTGAACAGCCCACTCCGCCCATCTGACCAGGCCCGTCAGCTAATCCCGGCGTAGCACCTGGCACTGCAGGCTGCTGAGCCGCGCCCCCTGCCCACCCACCCATGCCTGGGAGCACACACAACCCAGTCGATGACAACTGCAAATGTCTTTAGATATTGCCAAGTGGTCCCCTGGGGACAGAAATCACTCCGGTTGAGACACAAACTCCCCTCACGCCAGGACAGACCGCAAAGATAATAACATGATGAAAATGTGCAGTTCTTTATGGAAACAGTACTGCACCCCTAGCATGGTCACGTATTGCCCTCTGCAAAGATGGGCATCCTGTCAGCCGTGCAAATCTCTGAGACAACTCCTGGATGGGTAACTCGACTTGCGGTGGGGTCCAGTATCTGAGATAATTTCCGCCTTCATCTGTTTAGCAAGGCTGTCCGTAATTGAAAGGAAACTTATACAAAAAGTAGTGTCTTGGCAACAGCGGCCTCAGGCCGGGGAGGAGAGGCGCCCTCCCCACGGCGACACCCGACGGACAGAGACAGTCACTACCAGAGAACAAGGCTGGCACAAGCCACGTGCAGGGTGCACCAGCCAGCCTATGTGCCTAAGTCTACTCGCGTGCACCACCGCGACCAATGCCGTCTCCCTCGCCCAGCCCTTGCTAGGCGTCCTGCGTGGTTCCGGTCAGTTTAAGATCGAGAAAGTGGTTTTGACGAAGGGGATGTCAGGCAAGAAAGGTAAACAGAACTGGACACACAAACACAGCCATCACACACGTCACAGACCACCACACACAGACTAATCAGATTCAGACCAAAACATTTGGAGAACAACCACACACAGAGACTCACACAACCACACACACAGACGTCCCACACCTGGCTCACGCCCGGGCTCCCTCGAAGGGAGTGGCAAGACTCACACACACAGCCACAAACGCAACAACCCTCACACGCCCGAAGACACTCTTCACGCCCACACATGGAAGCAGCACTGCCCTCACACAGGTGCACACACAACAACCAGCACGCACACGCTGCACCATCGCACCCGCGCCACACAGCAAGCCTCGCGAGAGCCTCGCAGCACACCCTCCCGTGCCTCCCGCGGCTGCCTACCACGCACTGCCCCAGAGGCTCTGCAAGGGAAACACAGTGGGGCGCCGACATGGAGGCGAGGGTGGGATTGGGGTTGTCTTCCCAGAAGGGCAGGTGCATGTGCTGCTCTGTGCGGTCGTGTGTCCCTGTGTGCCCGTGTTGGTCAGAGCGTGCAGACACATCACCACGAGGGTGTCTCCGAGTGTGTGCTTTGGCAGGCCACATGCCATGTGCTGCTGTCAAGGGCAGGAGACCAGGACACGAGGGGAATGATGTTCCTACAGGCCAGGGTGTCCAACTGCGCAGGAGTGTTCGTTGTGTCTGAGGCTGCGAGCGGGTGCAGGGGGTGCCATAACCCCCAGTGTCCACCGGGTGTATTGTTGGGTCTGTGTGTCGTCGGACTGTCCCTTCACCCTTCCAACAGCCCCCAGCCCATGGGATGCCGGCGGTTTCAAGAAAAAAGCAGAGAGAGCAGCTTGGCCTCGGGGTTTTATATTTCAGAAAATTGTCTCATGCCCCTGGGGTGGTTGGGGTGGCGGTCTGGCGGGATTCCCTGGAGGCGAGAAAACAAGTCCCGTGCTCGCCCTGGCAAGCAGCCATGGGGGCAGTGGGCGGCCCGGGGCCCGTGGGCTCTCCCCAGCAATAAGGATCTCCTTGCCCACCCCCCAGGCCGAGACGCCGCTCCTGCAACCAGCTCCGCCCTCGGCGCATTCCACTGTGCGGATGGCAGGGGAGAACCCTCCACCGCCCCGCTGGCAGCCCGCGCAACGCACCTGGCGAGGACGTCGCGCGCCAAATGACTCGCGTCCCGCGCGCACCTCGTCCGAATATCTCATGCCTGGACACCTCCACTGTGGGAATGGGGGACCACAAACGATAGGGAACTGGAGGGGTCGGGGGAATGAGACCAAGGACAAGCGCTTGCGAAGGCAGAGAAGCGCCCCCACCGCTCAGCCACAGCCGGGGTACAGGAAAAGACAGGAACTGGGGACGGACGGGAGGGGAGAGGATGTAGACCATCCCCAGGACACAACCCTAGAGTCACACCACCACGGTGACACAACTGTCCAGACACGCCACCACGCCCACAGTGTCCCACCGCCTGGCAACCCCCAACAGCCACACACTAACACGGGACGTCCACGGTCACCCAGGGGACACACGCCTGGGGACACAAACACGGCCACACAGCTTTCACAACACGCCGCAGGGACGCACGGCACAGTCGCCAATCAACCCAGCAGACACACAACACTGCCGCACGCACACACATCTCTAAAGCACACACAACAACAACACCACAAGCACGCTGGATGCTCCAGAACAACGGACACGAAGGATGGACCAACGCGACAGGACCCACGCGCAGGTACGACCCCGCCGCCCAGACCGCGGGCGCGTCCTGCAGATTCCGGGGCTGCTTGGGCTTGGACGAGCACAGGGAGGACCCAGCGCACCCCCTCGAAGTGGACGAACCGAACCCCGCCGGCAGACCGGGACACACGGAACCCGGCACCCAAGTGCAGGCGGCTGCCCGGCCTGGGGCGCGCCCGCCGAGACCCGCTTGCGACGCTCCGGGCGGACCCCAAGGCGCGCACGGCGGGGCTGGGGCGGCCGGGGGCGGGGCGGGAGCGCGAGCGGCCTGGCTGCCCTGCGCGGCGCGAGCGCGGCCGCCTCCCGGCTCCAAAGTTCAAGGCGCCCGGCGGCCGCGGCGCGCTCTCCCGCCCCTTCGCAGGCGGCCATTTTCCGCTAGCGGCGCGCCCGCGTGCCCGGCGCGGGCACCCCCGCAGGGGCGCCGCGACCCCGCCCGCCGCGCCGCCCCTCCTCCGCCCCGCGCCCCCACGGCGCGCAGCGGGGGTCTGTGCGCCCCGGGCCGCGCCTCCCACCGTGCGAGTCGCAGTCCCGGGGGGGGGGCTGGCCTGGGGGGGCCTTCCCGGCCCCGCCTCCCTGGCCAACCGCCGGTGCCCGCGAGGGGCCCCCCACTTGGGGTCTTCCGCTGAGCCCCGCGCGCCAGCTCCGCCCCCAAAGCCCGGAGGGATGCGGGGGGTCCCGCAGCGAGGAGGAGGGGGTCCCCGCAACGAACCCCTCCTCCGGGCGGCCCCCGCCCCTTGCTCCCCCAGACCTCGCAACTTTCGCCCAGAGCCCACGCACCACCACAAAAAGTCCCCGGGCGAAAAATCGAAAGTGGGGGCGGCGACGTACCATGGCGCTGCTGCGAGGAGGCGAGGCCGGCGACGCCACGAGCGCGTCGGCGGCGAGGGGGCGAGGGACGGGAGAGGAAACGGGGCGAGGGGGGCGCCGCGGGGGAGGGCGCGAGCGCGCGAGGGAGCGCGCCGCGCCGCCCCGCAGTACCTCTCGCCGCCTCGTGCGGGGGCTCGCTGCTCCGGCGCGGGCGGATGCGGCCGGCTGCGGCTCATCCCCGGCGCCGGCGCCAGGAGGCCGGCCGCGGTTGGCGGCGGCTCGCGGGCGCCGGCCGGGCTGGCTGCCGAGCCAGCGGATCCTCCTTCGCCGCGGCGCGCGCGCGCTCGCTCGCACACACGCGCGCAGGCGACTCGGGGACACGGGCGGGCCGGGCCTCCTCCACGCCGACGAGGACACACGGCCTGCGGTGCCACCCGGACACGCGGGGACCCACGGCCGGCGGGGTGCCGCGGCCACGCACCTCCTGCGGGATGCCAACCCAGACGCGCACTCGCAGTCTGCGGGGTGTCACCCAGAGACCCACGCGGACGGACAGTCACGGAAAGACGCCCGGGACCTCAGACTGACCCACACGCGGACCCACAGGACCCCTCTCCCAGCCGCCCGGCCGGTGACTGTGACTGCAGGTGTCCCCGTACACAGCTGCGCGCACACACACACACACACAGCGGGGAGACGGGACAGACGGCGACACAGAGACTCGGACACCGAAGGCGACAGACCTGGGGGCGGGGGTCCCCTGGGGGTCCCACCGGGGCTCCAGGAGGGGATGGGGCGGGAGCGCCCGGCCTCGGCCCGGTAGGTGGGGGGGCGGGAGCAGGCGCCCCTCCCCCGTTGGGGTTAATGACCGGGCCTCTGCAGGGGGGAGGGGCCGGGCCGGTGGGTCAGGCCCCCGCCCCTGCCGCGAGCCGCTGCGGGTTGGGTCGGGCTGCCGCAGCGCCCCCCCAGCGCTCCCGCAGTCCCCCTCCTCCGACAGCCGCAGAGTAGGCGCCGCCCCCCTCCTTCCCCCCCAGCTCTGCGTCTGGCGCAGCTGGGGGAGGGGGGTTGCCCGGGCCTATGGGGGAGGAGGATTGGGCTCTCCTCCTCCCGTCTCCCACGACCCCAATCCCTCCAGGATTTCAGGGACCCCTTTAGGGAAGTGGTTTCCTGCCCCTCCCCCAAGAGAGGACAGCAGGGCTAGGGGGACGACAACAGCCCTCCCTACATAGTAGGTGCTCAGTAAGTTTTGGCTGCAGGCTGCTCTCCCAGCCACCGCGGGCATTCGCCCTGCCCGGCCCTAGACACTGAGGTCCTGTCGTCTATACATCCTCTGCCCATGTTTCAGAAGACACAAGTGCAGCTCAGAGAGGGGAACTCGCCTTCCCCAAGGCAACCAGCAAGTCCAAGGACCCCTAAGCCTTTCTTCCAGGGTTCTCTGGAGGAGGCCCCCTCCCCTCCCGCCAACTTGAAGCAGGTGCTGGCGAGGGAAGGGTTAACAGGTTAGCGACCTGCCCGCCCTGACCCATCTCTAATCTGCCGCCGCTAATCCCCAGCTCCAGCCCTCAGTCCCTCCCCCGCCACGGGAATTAGGTACCTGGAGGAGGGGACGGGAGAGGAGGGATGGTTTGGCGGTGGCCAGGTGGGAATTGGGGTCCACAGGACAGTCTCGGAGCCCGGGGCCCAGGGCTCAGTTTACTGTTCCCCACCCGTGGTTTCCCCCAAGAAGCCATCCCTGGACCTGCCTGGCATGGGACCCCTGGCATGGGACCCCTCCTCTGTGGTGGCACTACTGTCTTCATACCCATTTCCTCCATGGGCAAACTAAGTCTCAGAGAGGTTCAGGCACTTGCCCCAAGGCCACCTAGCTGGTAAGCGGTGATGGTCGCAAGCACCCAGTTTTAGCATCTTCTGTGATCTGAATAGGCGTAGAATTTCCCACAGCATCAAAACCTGGTTCCTTTTCGCTTAACATTTCTTCCCCTCAATCTGTCTGTTTCCTCTCACATTTTATTATAAGCAGTGTGAAGAAGACCAGGCTGCACTTTCAACACTTTGCTGGAAATTCCTCTCGGCTAACTATCCAAGTTCAACGCTTCCCCAACCCTGCTTTGCACCTAACGACAGGACACAACTTGGCTAAGTTTCTGCCCCTACCTAACAAGGCTCCTCTTTCCTCCATATGTGTTGGCTTGCCATGCTCCTGCTCTAGGACATTCCCAAGAGACAGACTGATGAGCACACATATTTCAAAAGGTGTAGCCTTCCTGAGACCAAAGAAAGGTGAACAATAAGAACATACCATGTTTTGACACTCATCAAAAGACAGTAAAGATTTTTTAAATTGATAAAACCCGGTGCTGGTGAGGATGTGGTGAAACAAGCATTTTCATAATTGCTTAAAGGTGAAGGTGTGCATGACTTGGGAAAGCAGTTTGGCACAGATGACGCAGGCCTAAGACAAGTTTAGACCTATGGTCTAACTTCTGGGAGTCCATCCAACACTTGAGGAAAAGCATATATGTCCCTGAAAATGTTCATTGCCACATGCTCATGAAAATGACCATAAAAGGCCTTTTTTTTTCATTATTACCCGTAAGAGCTGTTTTAGACATTTTTTTCCCAACCACCTGCATGAAAATGTAATACCACAGATACACTGTATGTTTGTTTACATACTATATATACATTGGTGTTTTCTACATTAAAAGTAAGGTTTCTTTTACCCCCATAAGGACCACTTTTTGTCCCTGTTGAGAATGCACTCTAGAAGTAATGATATAGCCGTCTGATGGGATGTGATACGGCCTTAAAAAGAATGAGGTTCCGACAAGAAGAAGACAACCATTCAAAAGTCCAATATGCCAAAGGCATGAGAGGTCACGTCACCACTAAAGAGGAAACATGGGTGGCTGACAAGTACATGAAGAGATGTCCAACTTCACTAAGGACCAAGGAAATGCGTGGCAAAGCCACAGCGAGACCTCATTTTACCCCACATTTCATGGCCCCCGAATAAAAATTGTCCACCAATACCAAATGCCAGGAGCTGTGGCTACACAAGGTTCTCCTACACTGTACATCCTCTTTGGAAGAAGGACTGACATGAACTACAACACAACACAACATTCATGTGCCACATCACATAGCCTTTGCTCTCCCAGATATTTAAAAAAAAAACAAAAAAAACAAATCCACAAGAAACGTTTGCTCATTGCCATGGGAAACATGTCCCAGGGTGTCACTGCACTGTGCAAAAGGCAAAACCCCAGAAACGACCCGAATGCATCCCCGAGAGCATGGAGAAGTGCATTGTGGGAAATTCACATCACAGTGGGGTTCTCCAAGCACAGGCGGACCTAGCAACATAGCATCCAGTAAAGAAGAAGCCTCCAAGTATTACCCACAGCCTAACACCCTCTTGTTGAAGTTCTAGCAACTAAACCAAAACGACATTCATTTAGGGAATACGTATTCATATTTGAGGTACAATTTTTTTTTTTTTTTTTTGAGGCAGAGTCTCACTGTGTTGCTCCGGCTAGAGTGTCTGTGGCGTCAGCCTAGCTCACAGCAACCTCAAAGTCCTGGGCTCAAGCGATCCTCCTGCCTCAGCCTCCTGAGTAGCTGGGACTACAGGCATGCGCCACCATGCCCGGCTAATTTTTTCTATATATTTTTAGTTGGCCAATTAATTTCTTTCTCTTTTTAGTAGAGACTGGGGGCCTCGCTTTTGCTCAGGCTGGTTTCGAACTCCTGACCTCGAGCAATCCTCCTGCCTCAGCCTCCCAGAGTGCTAGGATTACAGGCATGAGCCACCTCTCCTAGCCGAGGTGCAATTATTTTTAAGCAAGAAAAAGGCTAAAATACCAGATTCGAGAGTGTGGTTAACTTTGGCGGGAGATGCGTTTTGGGGTGTGGGTTACTGTGAATGTTCTGTTTATCCTGGTGGTGTTGAGTTGGTAGGTATTTATGTTAATAGCAAATTTGCACATTTATTAATAAATGGAAAAAACAATGAGTCAGACTGAGATTAAATTCATTTCATCATCCAAAGCCCAAGTAAATAGGTAAATAACTAACTTGTAATAAGAATGTGCCAAGAGTAGACCGTAACCCCATATCGGGTGGTGGTTTGCCTGTTTTAATGACAGCTGCAGGCCCTGCCCTGAGCAGCACTTGCTACATATCAGGCATTCAAATGTTTGTTGAATAAATGAAAGTCTCATAGGGACAAAAAGCCTTGTAAAATCTCATTTAAAAAAACAATCGGGAGGCCAAGGTGGGAGGATTGTTCGAGATCAGGAGTTTGAAACCAGCCTGAGCAAGAGCGAGACCCCGCCTCTACTATAAATAGAAAGAAATTAATCGGCCAACTAATATATAGAGAAAAAATACGCCGGGCATGGTGGCGCATGCCTGTAGTCCCAGCTACTCGGGAGGCTGAGGCAGGAGATTGCTTTGAGCCCAGGAGTTGAGGTTGCTGTGAGCGAGGCTGACGCCACGGCACTCACTCTAGCCTGGGCAACAAAGTGAAGACTCCTGTCTCAAAAAAAAAAAAGAAGAATCGTATATATGTATTATGTATTGCATTATATACACATATTATACATGATATACATTTACATAAAATGTGTATATTTATTACATATTTTAAAAGAATCGTACACACATGCACCCACATCAGAGTTTCTCAGCCTCAACACCAATGGACCAATCTACAAAATGTTTCGTTATGGAGTAAAAAGTTTTTTAAAGGCTGGGCAAGACTCTGTCTCAAATTAAAAAAAAAAAAAATTTAGGCCAGGCACGGTGGCTCATGCCTGTAATCCTAGCACTCTGGGAGGCCGAGCTGGGAGGATGGATTGAGGCCAGGGAGTTAGAGATCAGCCTGGGCAACATAGTAAAACTCCAGTCTCTACAAAATATTTTAAAAATGAATCAGGTGTGGTGGTGCGCACCTGTAGTCCCAGCTACTGGGGAAGGCTGAGGCAGGAGGATCGCTTGAGGCCCTGGAGTTGGAGGCTGCAGTGAGCTATGATGAGGCCACTGCACCCCAACCTGGGCAACAGAGCGAGATAATTGCCTCTAACAAACAAATTTTTTGTTTTTTGAGACAGAGTCTTGTTTTGTTGCCCAGGCTAGAGTGAGTGCCGTAGTGTCAGCCTAGCTCACAGCAACCTCAGTCTCCTGGGCTCAAGCGATCCTCCTGCCTCAGCCTCCCGAGTAGCTGGGACTACAGGCATGCGCCACCATGCCTGGCTAATTTTTTCTATATATATTAGTTGGCCAATTAATTTCTTTCTATTTATAATAGAGACGGGATCTCACTCTTGCTCAGGCTGGTTTCGAACCCTTGACCTTGAGCAATCCACCCACCTTGGCCTCCCAGAGTGCTAGGATTACAGGCATGAGCCACTGTGCCCAGCCTAAATTTTTTTTTTATTATTATTTGAGACAGAGTCTTGCTTTATTGCCCAGGCTAGAGTGAGTGCCGTGGCGTCAGCCTAGCTCACAGCAACCTCAAACTCCTGAGCTCGAGTGATCCTTCTGCCTCAGCCTCCCGGGTAGCTGGGACTACAGGCATGCGCCACCATGCCCGGCTAATTTTTTTTATATATATCAGTTGGCCAATTAATTTCTTTCTATTTATAGTAGAGACGGGGTCTCGCTCTTGCTCAGGCTGGTTCGAACTCCTGACCTCTAGCAATCTGCCCGCCTCGGCCTCCCAGAGTGCTAGGATTACAGGTGTGAGCCACCGCGCCCGGCCCAAAGAAATTTTTTTAAAAAAAGAAAACCCATTTAAAAAAAGGGAGAAAACTGAAGTTGCTGAATGATAAAGCCCTGCTTCTAGCATTTACGTAAGAAAAATATAAAGAAAGCCACACAGTTTAGTGTAGCCACAGTTATCTCCCCCTGTGAGCCAGGAGGTACATTTAGCCCCATTTTGAAGACGTAGGAACTGAGGCCCACAGAGTTACTTCCCAGCCATCCAAAGTGACTTGGGACCCCACGATGCCCCCTTAGCACAAAAGACACCCTAGACGGTAAGTAAACAAACGGGCAGGGCTGTGCGCCAGTGGCGTTCTTTTGTGTCTGGCTTCCTCCTCTCCGCATAATTATTTTGAGGTTCGTTCACGTGGTGGCGTACCCGCAGTTCGTTCCTGTATTGCTGACAACCGTCCCACTGTGCGGACACGTCGCGATCCGTCTGCCCGTCTGCCTGCCGAGGGCCATGCAAGGTGTTTCCAGCTCTGGATTAACTATCGGACCCAAGCCGCTAGGGCCCCCTGGGTTCGAGTGTTTGGAAGAACATTCGCTTTTGTCCCCGTTGGGCAGGTGTCTGGGAATGGGCGGGGTCGTGCGGCAGATGCGTGTCTGCGAGAGTCTTTGTCTGGCCACACGCTGCCTTCGTTCTTCTTGGGTAAACACCTAGGAGTAAAATGCTGGATCCCAGGGTGGAGAGCGTGTGTTTAACTTTGTAAGAAACAGCAAGACCGCTTCCCACAGTGGTCACGCCGTTTAGCATGCGTGCCCACCGGCAGGGGACTGAGTGTCCCGATTGCTCTACATCCGGTGGCGGAGCACAGACAAGCAGGTACATGATGCCAGACCCCCGAGAATGACGGGGACATAGCCGGTCGGTCGGATGGCAGCGGGCTGAGGGTTCAATGCAGCAGCAGTTTGGATTTTTTTGCAGTGAGCCCTGGGGAGCCACAGGGCACCTTTGACAAGGTGTGACACTGAGACCAAGGAGGGACAAAGGCTTGCCTAGAATCGCCCAGGGAGCCGCCAGGGCTCTGGAAGGTGTGGCTGTAGAAGGAAGAGCGTCCAGACCTCCCCTTGCCTCCCCAGGCCACTGGGATTGTCACTTCCCGGACTTAGCAGGGACGGCCAATTCTCCTGGTGACACCCAGAGTCCAGGGCCTATCCTCAGGAGGCCGTAATTGTTTCTGTTTTTGTCTTTGAGACAGTCTTGCTCTGTCCCCCAGGCTGGAGTGCCGTGGCGTCATCACAGCTCACTGCAGCCTCCAACTCCTGGGCTCAAGCGATCCTCCTGCCTCAGCCTCCCGAGTAGCTGGGACGACAGGCATGTGCCACCGTGCCCAGCTAATTTTTGTTTTCTTCTAATTTTGTAGAGGTCTCGTAGGGGTCTCCCTATGTTGCCCAGGCTGGTCTCAAACTCTTGGCCTTCAGTGACCCATGTTCCCCTTTGACACAGGGATTCGGCTTCCGAGTCTGTATCTTACGGAACGAGGGATCTGAATTGCGGCAAGTGGATTCCCAAAGCCCATCTTCTAATGCCCGCGTGGCTCCCCCTTCTCGCTCTTAGCTACATCAAAGGACAGGCATGGAGACTGCTGGCAGGAGGGGATAGACGGGGACCCCACCTGTGCAGTTTGCTCAGCCTCTCAAAGCACCCTCATGGCCCCTTAGCGCTGAGGAGGCCGGGAGGTGAGCAGCAGCGGGCATCATTAAGCCCATTTTATGGATTCGGAAGTTGAGGCCCACGGGTGGCCCCGGAGCCCTAATAACAGCCTGCGTGGCGGCAGCGGTTTCCAGCTATTATCCCATCTGCTGCGCCAACAGCCCCGGGCGGGCAGAGGAGGCTTTATTAGCTCAGGTGATAAAAGAGGCCCCAGATGAAGGAAATGACTTGTCCGGAGTCACAGAGCGGGCAGGCGGTGTGGCCGCGGGGCTGGGGTCATGCCCCAAGGGCGGGCTCCAGGGCTAGGAAGGCACCCAGGCTCCCCGGCCTTCCCCGAAAACTCAGCGCCGAAGTTTGCAGAGCCAAGAGTTCCCGGCCCGCGTGTCCCTTGCCCCGTTTGCCGCCCCTGGGTCCTATTTTGTTTTTATAGAGACAGGGTCTCGCTCTGTCACCCAGGCTGGGGTGCAGTGGCGTCATCACAGCTCACTGCAGCCTCCAACTGATGGGCTCTAGCGATCCTCCTGCCTCAGCCTCCCGAGTAGCTGGGACTATAGGCGCTGCCACCATGCCCGGCTAAATTTTCTATTTTTAGTAGAGACGGGGTCTGGCTCTTGCTCAGGCTGGTCTCAAACTCCTTCCCTCAAGTGATCCTCCCTCCTCAGCCTCCCAGAGTGCTGGGGTTACAGGCGTGAGCCACCGTGCCCAGCCAGATCTTTTTGTTTGTTATTTTTGGTGCCCATGTGGCCCTCCTTGGGGCCCTGTG